CGAGGGCGGGCGGGCGCGCAGGGGGCGGGGGGCTGCTGCCTCCGCGGGCGCCTCCCCACGCCCTGTGCGTGCCGCCGCCGCCGCCGGGGAGCGAGCGGACGTCGCGGCGCCGCGGGGGGGTGGGGGGACGCTGCCGCTGGGTCCGCCCGAGCAGCCGGGCCGCCCCCAGCGCGGCCGGCCGCGCCGCGTGTGCTCGGGTCCCGGGGACCAGGCCGGCGGGGCCGGCGAGCCCGACACGGGGTGGGGGGTCCCGCGCCCCCGGACCGAGGGGCCCGGAAGTCCTCGGCCGAGGGGCCTGGAGGGCCAGAGCTACTCCAGACCGAGACGTCCGGGCGCCCGGAACCCGGGCGAGGGGTCGGGGGTGCCCGGGGTACCCCCACGGGCGGGGTCCGTGAGCTCCGGCCCTTCGATGAGTAGCTGGGAGGGGCCTGGCGCTCGCCCGGGAGGAGGCAGAGGGGAGGGAAGCCCCGATGCCGCTCGCGGGAGACCCTCGGAGCGTCGGTGGCAGCGAGAGCCGAGAAGGGGTCCTGCTGAGGAAAGGAGGGTCCAAACTTCATCCGAGGGGCGCGTTTGAGGCCTCGGCGATGTAGCCAAAGGGACAGGAGGCAGGTCCTTTTCCAAGGGCAAGAGACAAGGGAGAGAGCAGGCCCACAGATAGAGTCGGTGGGAAGACACCTGAAACCTGCTGAAGTAGGAACGAGGGGCGTCCATCTCTGAGGGTCGAAATGGAGTGTCTCCGGATGCACAGGCAGAGAATAGGGTGGTCTTCTGTCAGGAAAGAGGGAAATGTATGGTTTGAGGGCTGGGGAGAAGATAATTGAGGAAAACAGGGTACCCCTGCTTTCTGAAATGACCTGGGAATTGACCAAGTGTCATCTACTTGAGGTGCCAGATAGATGAGGGCAGAGGAGGCTATGTGAAGGACTTGGGAGAGGGATCCACCAGACTTGAACTAGGGATCTGAAGAAGGCTTGGTAGTCCAAGAAGCAGGAGAAGCCCCGAATTATCTCAGAATAAGAGAAATAGCAAACACGGAGCAGGCTTCCAATGGTGTCTTTAGGAGAACCAAGAAATTGAGTTTTCTTCCTGTCCTCCTCTCCTCGCCTCTGCTAGTAATTACCAAAGTGCATTTGTGGAATTCTTTCTTTATGTACTGGTTGAAACCAGGGATACCTCCCCAGCCCTTTTTTTGTTTTATTTTTAAATTTTTTTTGGGTACCAGGGATTGAGCTCAGGGGTACTCAACTGCTGAGCCACATCCCCAGGCTTTTTTTGTATTTTATTTAAAAACAGGGTCTTACTGAGTTGCTTAGCGCCTCGCCCTTCCTGAGGCTGGCTTGGAACTCAAGATTCTCCTGTCTCAGCCTCTGGAGTTGCTGGGATTACAGGCGTGCTCCACCAGGCCCTGCCCGCCCCCCCCCCCCCCCCTTTTATTTTTACACAGGGTCTTGCTAAATTGCTGAGGCTGCCCTCGAACTTGGGATCCTTCTGCCTCAACCTCCTGAGTTGCTGTGATTACAAGCATGTGCTCCTGTGCCAGCCTATGGGACTTTTTAATTAAGTGGTTAGACTGTATTTATTAGTCTGTTAGCCTTATTCCAATTATGTATATTTACTGTTTACTGGTTTAAATGATGACTTATATTTTACCTCAGCAAATGCATTGAATGGCTAACTTCTCAACTTCATTGGTTTAGTTTGAGCCCTAACCCCTGGACTGTAGTGGAATGACTTGCCAAAGAACTCTTACTCCATTGCTTCCCTAAATACCTATGGTCTCCAATCTATGACATATCCAGAACTTAATTTACTCTGGATAATTCCCTCATAACAGTTCTGTGTGATATGCCTGTTGGCTTCATTACATCTGGTAGCACTCTGCACTCTAAATCATCTACTACAGGCTGGAAAAGGAATAAAGAATGAAGGGGGCGGGGATTAAAGGATTTCCTCCTTAAGTAATAATAAAGTTTCAATTTAGAAATCTCTTTTAAAATTTTCTTCTTATTTGTTTATTTATTTTTGGTGTGTGGTACTGCGGACTGAACCCAGCCCTGAGTATGCCCCAGCCCTTTTATTTTGAGACAAGGTCTCCTAAATTACCCTGGCTAGCCTTAAATTTGTGTCTCCTGCCTCAGCCTCCTGAGTCAGTGGGTACAGATGTATGCCACTGAGCCTGGCTCAACTTGGACATTTCTTTAGAGTACACTGTATGGTCTAAAAGTTGCAATAAAGTGTGGAATAAATTATATTCTGGGGTTAGAAATTTTCAGAGTATTATTATTTTTCAACCACCAATTCCAATCTTTCTACAGTGATGCAACAACACTTGTGCTTATTTTAACCATTACATCATGCCATATTTTAGACATTGGTTTTCAGGACACACAAAAATGAATTTAATTCAGTAGCCTGTTGTGGTGGCACCCACCTACAATCCTAGCTACTCAGGAGGCTGAGGCAGGAGGACTGTAAGTTCGAGGCCTCTCAGCAACTTAGCAAGACCCTGTATGAAAAAGTAAGAACTACTGGGGTTATTGCTCAGTGGTAGCATACCCCTGGGTTCAATCCCCAGTAACAAAATAAATTTAATTTAAAATAAATTTAATCCAGAGTAAATTTTGTGACAGTATATGCAGTCATGTGCTTACTTACAAAGTGTCTTTTTTGTCTTTGAAAATAACTACCTTTTCTCCATCCTTGCCAAGAAATATACTTTTTTTTTTTTTTTGGTACTGGAAATGAAACCCAAGGCCTCACATATGCTAGGCCTGCACTCTACCCCTGAGTTACACCCCCAACCCCTGAAATCTGGAAATTTCATGTTTGTTTTCTATACACGTCCCTAGAATGAAAGTGTATATTTTCACAAGGAATACTCTAAGGCCCTTTCCATGAAATACACAAAGGATCAACACACTCATCTTGCTATAAGTTTTTGTTGCTGTAAACAAGAGATACTTTTCCATTTACCTTTACCTCAAAGAGAAGACTTTGCATTTAATCAGTATAGTCTGTAGGCTGGTTTCAGTTTACTCACTAGAAATATGGTATTTAGAGTAATGAGAGATATTTATCCCAAACTTGCTTCTCTAAAGAATGTATAACTGGAGCTGGGGTTGTGGCTTAGTGGTAGAGGGCTCGCCTAGCCCATGTGAGGCACTGGGTTCGATTCTCAGCACCACATACAAATAAATAAAAGTAAAGGTATTGTGTCCATTTGCAACTAAAAAAAAATGAAAAAAAAAAAAAAGAATGTATGACCTGGCATAGTAGTTCATGCAAGTTCAAGGACAGCCTCTGCAATTTAGTGAGACTGTCTCAAAAAAAGGGCTGAGATTGTATCTTGTTGGTGCCCTTGGGTCCGATCCCTAGTACTGCATACTGAAAAAAAAAAAAAAGAAAGAAAAAAATGGGTCTGTATGAATTGTATGTTGAATCAGACCCAAGTCTGACTGACACTGAAAACATGTAGATGACTATAATTATCTTCTCTGATAAAGTCTCAGAAAGTTTAGAGAAGGAATCAGAACATTCCTTTTGGGTTCCAGGATGTGGAGGGGTCAAAAGTAGAGTAAAATGTGAGTTCTGTTGAGGAAGGTATTAATCAAGAACTTAGTTAACTACTTATTTAGAATGTTGTGAGGGGACTCAACCTTCAGGTAGAAGGTTGAAATTAGAAGATTCCTTCTAGTTCTGCTTCTGTAACCCATCAATTTACCTAAAGTATTAATTTTATTTATTTTTTTAAAGTTTTTTTTTTTTTTAAGAGAGAGAGAATTTTAATATTTATTTTTTAGTTTTCGGCCGACACAACATCTTTGTTTGTATGTGGTGCTGAGGATCGATCCCTGGCCGCACGCATGCCAGGCGAGCGTGCTGCCGCTTGAGCCACATCCCCAGCCCTAAAGTTCTTTTTTTTTTTAAATTTAGTTTTCAGTGGACACAACATTTTTATTTCATTTTTATGTGGTGCTGAGGATCGAACCCAGCGCCCGCGCATGCCAGGCGAGTGCACTACTGCTTGAGCCACATCCCCAGCCCCATATTTTTTAAAGTTTTAAACACCTTTTTCTGGTGATAAATTTCACCTGGAATTTATTTTTATTTTTATGTTTTTTTATTTTGTGGTGTTGGGGATTGAACCCAGGGTTTTGGTCATAACAACACAAACACTTTATCATCTGAGCTATATCCCCGGCCCTGGAATTTATTTTTTATTTATTTTTGTGTGTGTGGTGTTGGGTATCAAACTCAAGACCTGGCACAGATTAGGCAAGCACTGAACCACTGAGTTATAAGACCATCTCCAGGATTTAAATTTCATATATATTTTAATTTTAATTTTTAAAAACACCAGTATTGAGCTGGGGTTGTGGCTCAGTGGTAGAGCGCTTGCCTATCATGTGTGAGGCACTGGGTTTGATCCTAAGCACCACATAAAAATAAATAAAATAAAGATCTTGTGTCCATCTACCAC